TTATAATAAGGAATTTGGAAGTTGAGGCTGTTGACATTAGTTCAGAGGCATGACCATTATCAGGTCAGCATTTCTGTGATTCTCCTTACCTTTTCTTATGCCTCTTGAATTGTGGTCACATTATGGCTACAGTAGCTCTAGACATTGCATCTGTGATCAAGACTGGAGGAAGGTCAAAGGGGAAAAGGTGGTGCTAGCAGATTTCTCCTATATCTCATTGGGGAAAACATCCCAAGTAGATGGCATGTGTCCATCAACAGCTGAATGGATAAAGAAAGTGTGGTAGATACACATTGGAATATTATTCAACATTAAAAAGAAGGAAGTCCTGCCATTTGTGGCAACATGGATGGGTCTTGAGGGCACCGTATTAAGTGAAATAAGTCAAACAGAGAAAGACAAATACTGTATGATGTCACTTATATATGGAATCTAAAAAGTATTTAGTTTTCATGGCCTCTATAGTAGAGGTGGGCAGGGAGAAGTTGGTTGGAACGGGTGTTGAATGAACTTGCAGTGTCTGAAGTTACTATAAAAATGACAATTTATCATGGTAAAATATTCATAAAATCATTGACCAATAGAATGTGTAGATATATAGAGCCTACTGTACACATAAACTCATCCATGTTGTTATAACCTATATACATATGCATCTCAGGTTTCCAAAACTGTGGGTTTTCATTGTGTATGCACATTATAATCCCATTTTTGTGAAAAATAAATATGAACAAATAGGCACTCCAAACAATATAAAATAGATACATACTAAAATATTGATGGGATTATGTATCTTCCCCTTTTTATATATTCTCACTTTTCTACAATAAGATGTATTAACCATGAATAAGAAAAAAGGGTAATACATATTCAGAATTAGAATTCAAAATTTTTAATTTTTAAAGATATAAGTTAATGAGATATAATCCCTGTTATCATTGGTACAGTCTTTCAAATTGATATACACATTTGAACATTTAATATGTTTCAAAATCCTAATATATGTTAGTATCATTTCATTTAATCCAAACAATTATATGATAAAGTTGCTACAGAAAATCTTCATTTCCCATGTATTTATTATGTAATGCCCAAACTTATAATATTGAACATGAATACAATAATCACACACACACACCTACACATCACCAATGAACAGACTACCAATAAACTTAAACTGGTCAAAATTGTTTTCTACTCAAAAACAACATGTGTTCTTGTTTAATACATCAATATCTTTGTGTTTCTCATTTATTATTTGTGGCTAACTAAGAATATGCTCTTTGTGCCTCTATTTATATTACTCTGAAAATGGGACTGTAAAGGTATCTACTTTATGGAATTAATGGCCAGTTTAAGTGAATAAATATCTGGCACATTTTAAACATATATATATAACTTCTTGCTTTAAAAATTGTTATTACATGCTCAAGTATAAAGGTTGAATAGATATTGTAAGAGTTTGAGAGAAAAAAAATAGCATTAGCAGCATATTGATGATATTTAAAGCCACAGAACTGGAAAAAGTCACCCTAAAGAAGGAGTTTTGATTGAGTACCTAGACCTAGAAGAACAGAAGAAGCTCTCAGCACATTATTGAATTGCTCTCCAGTGTTAGGTACCTTATTTACTGAATCATTGACCTAATTCTATAGAAAAACTTCCTTCATGATGCTTACTTAACATGTTAATGAATGTCTTTTCTGTAATGCAGTGGTTCTCAACCTGTGGGTCGCGACCCCTTAGGCGGTAGAACGACCCTTTCACAGGGGTCGCCTAAGACCATCCTGCATATCAGATATTTACATTACGATTCATAATAGTAGCAACATTACAGTTATGAAGTAGCAACGAAAATAATTTTATGGTTGGGTCACAACATGAGGAACTGTATTTAAAGGGCCAGAAGGTTGAGAACCACTGCTGTAATGAGTCAAAGGAAAAATTCCACTTTGAAGTTGGTCTTGGGAAAAAGTTTTGTTTGCATATTTATTAGCTTATTTTCCTTTTCTAGACAATGGGAACTATGTGAACCACAAATTTACCTTTTGGGATTAGTTGTTATCATTTGAAATTGAAAATTCATCTGAAGTCCAATTCACCAATTCCAAGTACCACTTCTCTGCTCCTTTTAATGAATATTTATTGTTTCCATTTTCATTGTCTGATTTAATTTTGTAAAGTCACTTCAAATCCTCTGTGGAAGAGAATTGGTGGAAATTCCTACTCTTAGAGGAATGGCTTTGATAAATGGCATCTGTTTACCCAGCTTCCCTGTGGGAGTTGGCATCACTCACTGTCCCCTCAGTCCCACACACTGGCCTTCTCTTTGTTCCTAACCTGTCAAACTTCTGCCCACCATTAGGCCTCACATTCCTCTATGTAGAACACTCCTTGCCCTGCTCATTCTGTAGCCAAACCTGCTTATCTTTAAGTCCCAGATTAAATGCCAGCACTTTTGAAGGGTCTTGCTCCTCCCCTCTTCATAGTTTTACAGAACCTGCATTTTCCCTGTGGTACTTATTATCATTAAACTTATTTAATTTTTTGGACAACCATGATCTTCTTTTAAAAACTTTATTTAGTGCTTGAATTTCTGTTTATTCCAGAACAAAGTCTCACCCAGTATTACACATTCAAAGGTAACTGGAAACTAGCTCTCTCTTCTTTGTCTACTGGTCCCTTAGTGTATGATGGTGAAATAACTATGCATAGGTCAGGCAATGTAAGTGTTTTTAAATAAGACACTGAGAAGTGATAGCAAAATGAAATAAGTACCAATTTAAAAAACGTTTGTTTGCCATTTCTTTCTATCTGAAATATTCAGTCTGTATACTAATTTCCCCAATTATGCATGAAATGCCTTTTATAGCTGTGTCTAATCCCAGATCAGGTAGAAGTTTGCACATTATATTTGAATTTTATGTCTCTTTGGAGTCGTTTACTCTAAAAAAGTCTCTCCATGTTCTTCATGGTATTGAGTTTGAGGAATCTAGGCTAAAGTTCCATTTTCTGGATTTGCCATATTATTTCCTGATGGTATTGCTTCAATTTTTCCTCTATCTTTTTTATTTTTTATAAGCTGGAAGTTAGGTCTCGTGGAGCATGGCTCTTTAATAAAAATATAGCACGAGCTACATGTGTAATTTACACTGATCTAGTAGTCACATTTAAAAAAACAAAGATTAAATTAATTTCTTAAAAAAAAATTCTCACCTGAGGACATGCTCATTGATTTTTAGAGAGGGGTAGGGGGGAGAGAAAGAGAGAGAGAGAGAGAGCGAGAGAGAGAGAGAGAGAGAGAGAGAGAGGAAGAGAGAGAGAGAGACATCGATCTGTTGCTTACTGCATGAGCTCCTACGGGAGCTGGGGATTGAACTCTAAACCCAGGTATGTGTCCCAGCTTGGAATCAACCCTGAGACCCTTGGAATATGGATGCTGCTGCCTTTTCTGCGTAGTTTTCAAAATCTAGACATCTTAACAGTGGTGGTGACTTACCTAGGCTCTGGAGAGAGAGAGCAGTGGATGGCTTTCAGGCATGTTTTGAAGGTGGAATCAGCAGGAGCAGGTGGTTATTGAATGGTGGCAGGTGAAAGAAGGAGAAATTAGAAAGATATTGAAGATGACTTAATGACTTCCACATTTGTAATTTGTGGAATCCAGTGGGTAATAGTACTGCCTGCTCAGAGATGTGGGGGAAGGGAGGAGGGCTTGTTGCAGGGATGATTTTAAAAGTTCAGCTTTGAATTAAAACATTTTGTGCTTTGAAGGACACCAACAAGAAAGTGAAAATACAACACAGAGGAAAACTATTTGTAAATCTGACAAGGGACTTGTATCTAGAAGATTTTTTTTAAAAACTCAATAATAAAAAGACAAATGACCAATTTAAAAATGGGCAAAAGATTTGAATAGACTTTCTCCAAGGAAGATATATTAATGGCCAATAAGCACATAAAAAGATACTCAACATCATTAGTCATTAGGGAAATACAAATAAAAACTAGAATGAGATACTACTTCATACCTACTAAGTTGGCTGTAATCAAAAGGTTAAAGAAGTGTCAGCCAAGATGTGGAGAAATTGGGACCCTCATACATTGCTGGTAGGAATGTGAACTGGGGCAGCACTTTGGAAAAACAGTTGGGCAGTTTTTTAATATGTTAAACATAGAAATACCAGAAGAGTTCACAATTCTACTCCCAGGTGTTTACCCAAGAGAAAGGAAAACATATGTCCTTAAAAAGCCTTATACATAAATGTTTATAGCAGCATTATTCATAATAACCAAAAAGTAGAAACAATCCAAACATTCATCAACTAATGAATGGGTAATAAATGTGGAATATTCATACAATAGAATAATTGGCAATGAAAAGAAATGAAGTACAGACACAACCTACAACAGAGGTAATCCTAAAAAAGGGAAGTGAAAGAAACCAGCCACAAAGGCCACATATTGTGAAAATGTGAAACAGAAAGTAGATTAATGATTGCTTAGGGCTGGCAGGAGGGTGGGGGGTGGAATGGAGAGAATGGGCAGTGACTGCTAATAGTTACAGGGTTCCATTTTGAGGGGGTCAAGAAGTGTTCCAAAATTAGATCGTAGGGCTGATTGGCCAACTCTGTAAATGTATTTGTAAGTATACATATGTACATATGTAGAAATTGATTTTTGTATTTTAAACAGGTGAACTGTTTAATAGTATAGAAACTATATTAACTTTCCTAAATAAGTCTGTGAATTCTCTTAAATAACTTGTGTACTTGAGGTGAAGGGGTGTCTGAACAAGTTTTGGGAGATTTCAGAAGCCCCGAAGTTTAAAGAAAGATGGGAAGAAGGCCAGGACTGGGACTAGATGCTGTCAAAGCAACTTATTTTCTCCCTCTCTCAACTCACGGGGCGAGACCACGCCCCTTCCCCGTCTCCTAGCAACCGGCGCCCTTAAGGCGCTCTGCCTAGTGCCTCACTCCGTAACTTCCGCTCCGCGGCCGGAAGTGAAGTCATAGCCGGCGGCTTTCCCGGGAGTTCGGCGTTTGTTGTGAGTGCCGCCGCTGAACAAGTGTTTCCCTGGAAGTGGCGGTCTCCCTCCCTCTCCCGAGCTCCGCCTTCCCTCCGGTGCCGAGGACCCGGAGGAGTGTAGAGGACCTCGAGAGTCCAGAGTCCGCGCGTGAGGAAGGCGAGGCCCGAAAACGCGTGGCCCCGAGGGCAGAGTAGGGGACTGGCGGGGGCAGCTCCCGGGGTATCTGTGCAATTGGGTCAGCCTGGCTGCTTCCGTCAGCTTCGTCCCCGAAAGCTTCCCCCGTTCTCCCGGGCGGACAGCTGGGCTTCCTGGAGATTGGGGCTTTTCTGCGTCCCTCCCCAACACCCCACCGCTTGCCTTGAAGGGAGACCGCGCCCCCCCCACGACCCCGCATATAGGCGACTGACTAGGCTGCCGACTCCCTCCCTGAAGTGACCCACCATGGCCTTAGTGTGAGCGAGTGACCGACCTGTGGCACTTTTCCGGAGTCCAGGGTAAATGTTTATCTGTGCGCATGGCCTCGTGTGTGTGTGTATGTGTGTGTGTCTTTTATTTCCTGCAGAATCGGAGCTAGGAGAAAACCCTGGGCTGTGTTTGGCAATTGTGTATTTTGGTTTACTTTTTAAACATCTTTGCCAGGGTTTCTTCCCTGTGGCTGTTGCAAATCAGGCAACTTCGTGCCTTCTATTAGCTGGGTGGGAAAGCCCAGGAGATACTGATATTTTGGATGTTGGCCTGGCCTTTGAAAAGTTCAGTGACTTGTATTAGGCGGTTCTTAGTTTTAAGCTCTTTAAAAATATACTTTTTTAAAAATTGATTTTAGAGGGAGAGAAACAAATTTTGAGGATCATTGATGGGCTGCCTCCTGCACGCTCCTTACTGGGGATGGAGCCCACAGCTGGGCATGTGCCCTGAGGGGGAATCCAACCTTGACCTCCTGGTTCCTAGGCCCGCACTCAACCAGCTTTTAATGTGTTTTTGTCTTATGTTTAATTCTACAAGTTCTTCTTGAACAATGACTGGTCACTCTCACAGCCCTAGGTACAATACTGAACATATAGTAAAGGCTTAGTCATTTTAAAAATCAGAAAATACAGATTTTAACATCTTCAACTTAATATTGAAGGGGCCTATTTAAATACAGCCCAGCTCCTGGAAAGGACAACATAAAATAAGATTTTTTTAGATAAATGTGTATGAAATGTAGAGGCTACCTGGAAGGGTAGGTACAATGATCTCAATGGAAGAGAAATATGGTTACATCTGTTTTTTAGGAGGAGACCAAATAAAGAATGATGTTTCACTGCTTGTTTCTTTTTCCCTTTTGCTTCTTTTTTTTAATAGGTGGTGTTTCCTAACTACTGACCCAGAGGCACTTGCTGCCATTATGGGAAATCAGCTCGCTGGCATTGCTCCTTCCCAGATCCTTTCTGTGGAGAGTTATTTCTCAGATATCCATGACTTTGAATATGATAAGAGCCTGGGGAGTACTCGTTTTTTTAAAGTTGCTAGAGCGAAGCACCGAGAAGGCCTGGTGGTTGTGAAGGTCTTTGCAATTCAGGATCCCACATTGCCTTTAACCAGCTATAAACAAGAGCTGGAGGAACTGAAAATCAGGCTTCATTCTGCACAAAACTGCCTACCTTTCCAGAAAGCAGCCGAAAAAGCATCTGAGAAAGCAGCCATGCTCTTCAGGCAGTATGTGCGAGACAATCTCTATGATCGCATAAGTACCCGTCCATTCTTAAATAACATTGAAAAACGTTGGATTGCTTTCCAGATTCTGACAGCTGTGGACCAAGCACACAAATCTGGAGTCCGTCATGGGGACATCAAGACGGAGAATGTCATGGTCACCAGTTGGAACTGGGTCCTCTTAACTGATTTTGCCAGTTTTAAACCCACTTACCTTCCAGAAGACAACCCAGCAGATTTCAATTATTTCTTTGACACGTCACGGAGGAGAACTTGTTATATTGCTCCCGAACGTTTTGTTGATGGTGGGTTGTTTGCCACTGAGTTAGAATATATGAGAGATCCTTCAACTCCACTTGTAGACTTAAATAGCAATCAGAGAACAAGAGGAGAGCTGAAGCGAGCAATGGACATCTTTTCGGCAGGTATTTGAGTTGGCTAAATTTGCTAAGGGGGGACGGGCATATAATTTAACTGGAATATAGAAATGCATTACTCTTAGGGTAAAATGTACTAGTATATAGGACCTCTCTGGTATATATCATTTTTATTTATTTATTAAAATATTTTATTATTGATTTCAGAGAGGAAGGGAGAGGGAGAGAGAGAAAGAGAAACATCACTGATGAGAGAATCACCGAGCAGCTGCCTCAAGCACGCAACGTGGGCATGTGCCCTTGACTGGAATCGCACCTGAGACCCTTCAGTCCGCAGGCCAGCGCTATATCCACTGAGCCAAACCAGCTAAGGCCATAATTAATTTTTTAAAATCCCTTGCAACTAATAATCTGTGGGAAAGACTTCAAGACCAGTTGTCACAATTTTCTCCTTGATTTGGCATCCACTGATGATTCTTGCTTGATACAATCTTTACTGTGATGGCTTTAAAATGATGGTTTTCCAGTTCCAGCACTTTTCCACATTGATCAATAGGCCCTCAGCATTCTATTATACTCAGGTGTCTTTTTCCCCCTCATTTATTTTATATAGGTAGGGACTCCTACACTCAGTTTTGGAGGAATTTAAAAATCTATATTCATCAGAGACGTTGATCTGTACTTTTATTGTGTTGTCTTTATCTGGTTTGGTATAAGGGTAGTGTTGGCGTCATAGAATGAGTTGGAAGGTGTTCCCTCCTCTTCCATTTCTTGAGAGAACTTGTGAAGGGCGAATGCTAATTCCTTCAAAGTTTGATGGAATTCACCTGTTAAGCCATCTTGGTGTAGGCTTTTCTTTGTGGGAAAATTTTCATAACCAATCTCTTACAATGTTCATTCAGATTTTCTATTTCTATTTAGGGCAGCTTTGGTAATCTATTTCTGTGAATCTGTCCATTTCGTCTAGATGACCACATTTGTTGGCATATAGTTATTCATTCTGTACGGTTGGTAATAATGTCCCTTTTCCACCCCAATCTTCGTTATTCCTTTCCTTCTGTTTACTTTGGTTTGAGTTTATACTCTTCTTGTTTCGTAAGGTATTTATAGGTACACATTTCCTCTAAACACAGCTTTAGTTGCATCACATATGTTTTTGTATGTTGTGTTTTTGTTTTCATTCATCTCAAAGTATTTCATAATTTTCCTTTGATCTATTGGTTATTTAGGAGTGTGATTACTTCTTAATATTTGAATTTTTCAAATTTTTTTCTGTTCCTAATTTTTTTTTTATTCTGTTCTGATTTGAAGAACACAGTTTGTGTGATTTGAGTTCTTTTAAACTTATGGAGCCTTGTTTTATGACCTAGCATACAGTCCAACCTGGAGAGTGTCCCATTTGTATTAGAGAAGAATTTTGTATTCTATTGTTGGGTGGAGTGTTTCTTTGATTTCTGTTTGATCCAGTTGGTTCATAGTGTTGTTCAATTCTATTTCCTTCTTGGTTATGATGTTTGTAATCGCTATTTTTAAGTCTTTTATTCTAAAACTTGACACTATATAGGTAGAAATTAATGAAATAAATGTTTTGAGTGTTTATTATGTGTCAGGAATTGTCTTAGTTGCTGGGGATTTTTCAGTGAACAAAATAGACAAAAACCCCTTCCTCATGGAGTTTGCTTTCTAGTGGGCATGTAGACAATAAAGAAATAAATACATTAAATATATATAATTTGGCAGTTGATGCTGTGGGGTAAACAGCAGGGAAAGGGAAAGGGAATGTGCCAGGTGTGGAGTATGAGGTAGTTGTAGTTGTGGGCCTAAACTGGGCAGTCAAGAAAGGCCTCTCTGCTAAAGGTATTTGATTGAAGATCTGAAAGAGGTGGAGGTATAAACTGCCTTACTTGGGAAATAGCATTTTAGGCAGAAGGACCAGCAAATGCAAAGGCTGTGTGCTAATGCTATGTAAGGATCTCTTTAAGAATTGTTAAATGTGCAGGCTCTATTCCCAGTAGAGGGTGTGCAGGAGGCAGATGATCAATAATTCTCATCATTGATGTTTCTATCTCTCTCCCTTCCTCTCTGAAATCAATAATTAAAAAAAAAAGAATTGTTAAGTGTATGTCATACAGTGATTCAGTGAAACTGCTTGTCCTTTTTGAAATGTGGATAGTTGTGTGTGTTTTTTTAAATTTCCTATAGAAGATTCCATAAGTGCAAAATGATTGGGTTATTTCTTCTCTCTAACAGCCACACTTCTCATTTTATAATTGTTTTTGTTCACTGGTTTATTTTAAGCCTCCCTTTCTATAATGAAAGCTTTATGAGGGCAGGGATTTTATCTGTTTCATGTATTATGGGAGCCTAATGTATAATAGACACCTCATTTTAGTTTAATGATAAATAAATGAATTGTCAGCTATGATTTTTCAGTAATTTCTTTTGAATTTAATTTCTATAAATCCATACTTAAAAAAAAAACAAAAAAAAAAACAACCCCAGTGTATTTCCTGTGGCTTTTACTCTATCCACCTATTTCTAAATGTATGGTGTGTACATTATATGTGCACATTCATTTAAAATTATAGAACTAGGAAGTAACTTTATTTGATTTAAGTTTGTTTTTTTTTTAAGAGGGGCAAAAATAGAATGGGCCTTTTTGGCGTTACACTTTTTGAAACTGATGGTTAGGCAATAGATTTTCCCTATCTTGATTGATTGTTTTATATTGCATTAAAATTTATAATTTACTTGGTTTCACATTTTGAGTTTTATAAATTCTCTGAATTCTTGATCTATATTAATAATTTCTTGCATTTAATTTTTAATGGAATTATATCTGCTATTTTCCAGGTTGCGTGATAGCTGAGCTTTTTACAGAAGGTGTACCATTATTTGATCTCTCACAACTTTTGGCTTATAGAAATGGACAGTTTTTCCCTGAACAAGTGCTAAATAAAATTGAAGATCGCAGTATCAGAGATTTGGTAACTATGCTACAAATATTTGCCATAAGGAATTTAATAGAATTGTGTTCTTTTGCATTAGTCCATTCTCTAAAGTGTTATAAATTTGGAACAAAGCAATAAAGTCCGATAGACTAATACAAATACCTTATGGTTTTTACTTTATTAGGGAGAAATGTACAATTCCCCCATCCCCCTTCCCAGACACAGAGCTTCTTTGACTTATTTTTTATATGTGCGTGCGCACACACATACATACTCACACACACACTCACACTCAAACTCACACAGACACTTCCTCCAATTATAATCTTTAGCTCTGCTTTGGATGGGTTTAAACAGAGGTAATGAGATGCCTGGGGGTTAGAGAAGTTGTCCAGGCTGGAGCTTGCTAGTAAGATATGAAGAAGACAGTAAATATCAACTTGAATATAATGCAGCAGTACAAGGCCATTTCATATAGAAGCTACTAACTTTGTATACTACCCTTGACACTAAGGTCAGTTCTGGAAGGGAAGATGTAGAATCACAAATTAGTATAGCAGAACAGATATGAGGAATTCTGTGGGAGGTCATATAAGCCATATATCCATATTACTGTTTGAGGGGATCTTTTTAAAGTCAGTCAGTATAGGAACTGATGCTTATGATGATGATTCTGAGTCATGGAAAGGATATGGTGTATTTAAAATACCCTTTAGTAAGGTAGGGAAATATTTTAATTTCTCTTACAAATAGCAAATACTAAAAAGTATGCTTCAGGTGAAGGAAACTAATTTAGCTCATGTTTAGCTCAGCTGGATTAGGAGTTGGTATATTTGGTTGGTATGTCTTTGGATGTGGCATTCATTCATCACGTTACACTGGCATGAATTTGGGCCTACATTTTCTTAACTGTGAAAGGAGTGAATTGACTAATCTTTAAAGCTTAACCTAAATGTCAAAGTAATTCTATTAGGTCACTTTTTCTTATTTATAGTATATTTGATTCCCCCTTGTTCAATATGAAGCTCTTATTTAGAATCAAACAGCTCAAATAGCTAGATATACGTATATGATATTTTGAGTATTTGAATAATGGCTAATACAGTGGGAGGGACTAAGAAAGATTAAACTATGCTCTGTATATTGAAAAAATTTTATGTTGCTAGAAACATAAGATAAATTCAAATAAGGTATGTTATTTCTAGTGTTTGCAGGATTTAACACTTCTTTTACACTACTTGAAAAGTTTAAACCACTGATTCCCTTTGTGAACAGATTCTAGTGCAGCCGTGGGCAAACTACGGCCCGTGGGCCGGATCCGGCCCGTTTGAAATGAATAAAACTATTGAAAAAAAAGACCGTACCCTTTTATGTAATGATGTTTACTTTGAATTTATATTAGTTCACACAAACACTCCATCCATGCTTTTGTTCTGGCCCTCCAGTCCAGTTTTAGAACCCATTGTGGCCCTTGAGTCAAAAAGTTTGCCCACCCCTGCCCTAACCACTCCCCTGCCAGCCTGATCGACACCTAACTGCTCCCCTGATGGCCCGGTCGCCCCCGACTGTCCTCCCCTGCCGGCCATCTTTTGGTGTAATAAATGGGGAATGTTGATTCACCTCCTCTTTATGTGTATGTGTCTGGGTCATCTGTAATATGTTCGCATGTAATTTCATACTGCTTTTTAGGACAGTAGTAGAGTCACATATTACTCAGTAGTTAGGTTCTGAAAGTAGTTTGAATGGTAAAGATTGAGAAGACTTACTTCATAAATCCTTTAAATCATGGTTTAAGATGCCCTTGTAGCTTTTCTCTGACTTAATTTGCTGTCTTAAATCTATTTTTTACTCTCTTTCTCCCTTGGTATAGGTAACTCAGATGATTCACCGTGAGCCAGATAAACGATTAGAAGCAGAAGATTACTTAAAGCAGCAGCGTGGCAATGCCTTTCCTGAAATATTTTACACTTTCCTTCAGCCCTACATGGCCCAGTTTGCCAAGGAAACATTTCTTTCTGCAGATGAGCGTATTCTGGTTATACGGAAGGATTTGGGCAACATTATTCACAATCTCTGTGGACATGATCTGCCGGAAAAAGCTGAAGGAGAGCCTAAGGAAAATGGGCTGGTTATCTTGGTGTCTGTTATAACCTCCTGTCTACAGACCCTTAAATACTGTGATTCCAAACTTGCTGCTTTGGAACTTATTCTCCATTTGGCTCCACGATTAAGTGTAGAAATTCTTTTGGATCGTATTACTCCATATCTTTTGCACTTCAGCAATGACTCTGTTCCTAGAGTGAGGGCTGAAGCCTTGAGGACATTGACCAAAGTTCTAGCTCTTGTCAAAGAGGTTCCTCGCAATGATATCAATATCTATCCGGAATATATTCTTCCGGGCATAGCTCACTTGGCCCAAGATGATGCTACTATTGTCAGACTAGCCTATGCTGGTAAGAGATTATTGTCTAAGTAATAGCTACTCATATTTATGAAGTTAGGGACTATAATATCTCTTGTTTCTCTGATTTCTTTAGGAATTCTGAGAATGACCTTCAGTCCCTGATTTATTTGTGTACATTTTAGTAATATTTATAGCTAATCTGTACCTGGGACTCAACTTTTGTGTGGACTCTCATTTTTGAAGTGACCAGAATTAGCTAGTAAAAAGTATATAATACAGAATCTCGTGCTTTTACTGGGAGTATTACATTTAATTTGAAGGGAGACTAATGTTTATAAATACGTGCTTCTGGGGTATGTCTTTAGGCCTTTATAAAGCTTCTCTGAACAGATAAGCTGTTTGAATATCAATTTTAGGATATGCGACAATTTATTGTTGAAAAGATTTATTTTGCTGGGTAATTTGGTGTTGAAAGAATCTAGCCTATATTAACTGACTGAATTTAAGGTCCTTTCAGTTACTATAGTGCTTAGGATGTATGGCTTCTTTGTGGTGAAGTGAGTGTGTTATATAACACACCTGCATGTTTTACTTGTAATTCTGATAAAATCAAGTGATACAGATTCGTGTTTTTAGCTCACTAATTCTGAATGCTTATTACTGCATGGAAATGCCATTGAAACATTTACATAAATTATGGAATTATGCAATTTATTTCTAAAATGTAATCTTGAAATCAGGGATTCTTTTTTGAAGTACATAACATGTGGTGGTGATTTTGTCACTTTGCTGTATGATGCTTGCTTAGGAAACATCTTACAGATGTTTTTAATCCTCACCTGAGAGTATGTTTGTTTATTTTTAGAGAGAGGAATGGGGGATGGAGAGAGAGAAAACATCAATAGGTTGCCTACCTTACTCACCCCTGACCAGTCAGTACCTTGCAGTGTCCCTTCACCATGGCTTGGTGCAAGACAAAGCTACCTTTTTTAATAGAGCCAGAGGTCTGTTTGAACTTGTATGGTTAAGTATAATTAAACCACACATGTTAGTAATTAAAAACGTTTAAAATCAATTTGTAAATTTCTTTTACATTATTCTTTTTTAGCTCAGAGTTGTTGGTATAGAATTGTATCTTATGTAAACTATCCAAATATATTGTGGTTTATAAACTTCAGTGGGGAAATAAGCATAATTAAGAATTTAGAGGTTCAGAAAAATAAGAGACTTTTCCTAATAAAGATATGTTTATTCAAGTGGGGATATTCATCTAGAATTTTGACTTATTACCAGAGAATGGCCCTAAGTTTCTCCATCTTTAGGGTGAACAGGCATTGCAGGGTATTAATATCTTGCTTACTTAGAGGTAAATTTTTGTTCTGTTCAGAACAGTGTTGAACCTGGGAGAGATGGAGGAATCACTGCATTTGGTAGACTGAAAAGTCTCAAATATTGTGAGATGCATCTCCATTTTGGAAATGTAAAAAGTTAAGAGAAAGTGAGTGTCAGATTCAAAATAAAGTAGTTAAACTTAATGTTCAGTGCTATTTACTGCAAAGATGAAAGAGTACAGAGTTAAGCTAAGAAGCACAAAAGTAGAAGAAAGAAGGGTAGAAACTAACAAAAATGGAAGGAAGAAGATATAAGCAATAGAGTAGATATAATTAATAGCAAATATGATAGCAGAACTCAGAAGTAGATACTTTCACAGTGGTGAGGAGTATCAGATAGTTTTACTAGATTACCAGAAAGAGAAAGGAGAAAATATAGACAACTACAGAAGTGTGGCAGTCTGACACTTTAGTTCCTTAAGAACTTCAGAGTATCACTTGTGAAGCAATCCAACAGTGATTGATTCAATTTGGTAATGGCTCTTTGAAATTGATGTGACTCATTTATGTGTGAAGAAACTGAAGCTCAGATTGGTTAAGCAGCCAGCTAGTAAGTGCCAGGGAAGAGATTTCAG